TACTATAATTAATATGTTTGCGATTTGTTTTCAGCACAGTTAGTATTGATTAGGACACCTGCCGCTCTTACAACATAGAATTGTTACAGAATCAATTTTTTCATATTTGGAAATTAGAATGTTCATGAGAAAGATAATTTCAACTAACTGACACATGAAGTAGACCTACAACTGAAACTAGATATGCTCTTTTAAATATTTTATTTTCGATAATAAAGTTTATAAATGTTATATAACAATTTCTTGTTTGAAAATATCATGAAATAATATGTTTGTTTTCATAAACAAAAATTCAGTAGTTTTAGTACAATATTCCTAGGTATAACATTATACTGCATCTAGCAGTAGAACAATCAACTTTCAGTGTATCAGTGAGACAAGTAGTTTCTGGGCTGCCCATAGGCAAGGCATAGCATCCATTATCAGGGTTACATTTGAAGTCACTGGGACAATAATAGAGGAGACCCGCTCAAGTTAGTTGAGCACTGCAACTTGCAGAAAGAAATGGCAACCTACTGCCAAGCATAATATATGGTCATTCACAAATAAAAGAAAAACCACAATGGCATAAAGGGGGGTCCCTGATACAAGTGGGGAGCAGTAAGGTAAGTCATGTGTGACAGGTGACTCATGCTATTGTTCACACCCAGAAGAGAGCAGTCAAAGTGGCAATGTGAGGACTCTACATCAAAATGGAAAACTGTTTAATGTTAAGCATGAGATGAATAGATTAAAGATTAATATTCTAGGTCTTTGTGAAACACGTTGAAAGATGCTGGAACTATTGTTTCAGAAAATATGAAGATCATTTATTTAGGAAGTCAGATGCACAAAAGAAGAATTGGGCTGATTTTGGGCAATATCTGATAGAGTTATGCTTGTTAAAATAAAGGCTAAACCTTTCAACATTTTAGTAATTCAAGTCTACGCTCCGACTGCTGAAAATGAGAAAGAGGATATTGATAATTTCTATGAAGACCTTGATAAAGTGAAAAACCAATACCAATCTCAAGAAATAGTCACAGTGATGCAAAAGTTGGTTGTGAGTGAGTGGATAATACTGTTGGACTGCATGGACTTGGAGACAAATTTGAAAGAGGACAGAAATAGAATAATTGGTGTGCTGCAAATGATCAAGTCATTATGAACACATGGCTTGAGCACCACCTAAGAAGGTATACATAGAACAATCCTGGAGATAAAGTTAGAAACCAAACTGATTATGTCACTACAAAGAGAAGGTTCCAGGAGCTTATAGCTGAAGAAACCACGTCCCCGTAGTATGCACCATTAAGATAAGGTTGAAGAAATTTAAGAAGCCAAAAGTAACAAAGAAGCTCAATTATATAATCATAATGAAAAAATATCTGATTAAAGAAAGGTATACAGATGCAGTTAGTAACCATTTTCAATAACTTGAAGATGATGGAAATATGGATTGTGTGTTTTCACCTAGTTTGTTTAACTCATACAGTGAGATTGAGGATTTACCAGGGCTGACCTCTGGCAGACAGAATTTGAACAACTTACATTACGTTGATGAAAGCTTTAATAGTTGATTTAGAAAAGAAGCTGCAAAAGATTTTAGATAAAAGTTGTTAGTGAAAATGGAAAGAAGGGTAAGTATTAACTGCATGGTAATTATAAAGAAGATCATTCCTATGTACACTGTCAAAGTATATAAGGAACAGACAGACAGGCCAATAAATTCAACAATCTGGGAAGCTGGATAACATCAGGACAACCTGGAAATTTCCTTAAAATTGAGCCCTCCAGGTCCCATCTCGTGAAAGTGGATCAAGTCTAGAAAATATAAGTAACCTCACTCTCTTGGAACCACTGCACAGAGGTTGAGTGCATGATGGGAGGATTGCATGCCATCTACACCAGCAGAACACCATCACCCTTCTCTCTACTGAATGGAAGTGAACACCTTCAGGAGGGGTCATCCACTGTCCACCACCCCAACAGCTCAGAACTAAAAAGTGGCAAGGACTCCTGCACTCCACTAGAAGAACAAGGGAGATTAATTGTGGTGGAAAGTCTGAAGGAACGCCAACACTGGAGACAGTGTAATAGGTAACCATGAAAACCCTATTTTGGAAAGCAGACTGCCCCTGATTTATTCAATCAAAGGGACAGCAGTGATGGGCAGCTATCCCCTTCTGCTTTACCCATGTAAGTCCATGGGTTAGTCCAGTCCAGAATGGGAATATTGATAAAGCAAATATATTGCAAAGAAAAACCTAACAGCAATCATGTGTATCACTCCATCTCAACAGTGTGCATTATAGGCCTGGGTATTTATCATGGCCATACAGTGCAGATTTGAGATATAGGAGAGATATCTGGAAAGGCAATGTTCGTCACTGAGCGGGATATGAATCCTAAGTGTTACATGCCCCTTGAGGAAAAAAAATATAGAAAAGATAACTTACCCAGTCATAGACACACTGAAGTTTGAAGGATGGTAGCAGTCAGAAGGTGATACCTTGATTAGGAAGAAACAGCTACCCAATGAAGGTAGTGGGAGATGAACATATGAGTTGGAGGCCATATGCCTGGCTAAATAGTTTCCTCCAATGGATTATGGAGGTGTGACTCCAGGAAAAAAAGAAGGTGCCTAATAGCAGAGTCCACACATGAATTCACAGTCTCGGGAAAATCTCCAAAACAAACAGATGAAAAAGAAGCCATCTGGAAGTCACAAAGATAATGAGAAGGTAGATGAACCTGAGAAAAGACAAGTGCCCTTCCCAATAAGATCCTAAGAGCAACAAAACCACGTGTGAAGGGATAGGGCTAAAGAGAACAACAGCGTCAA